ACACTGTCTATTCATACTATATCTATAATTGCACATATTTTTTGCGTGCATAATTTTGTTATTTCATATTGATAGAATTCATGTTCACCGAAGCGTGTAATATATACTCATCATTCATGTCTTGTCATTTCATCGTCGAAAGTGTAACAGAAGCGAACGAATAAAAGAAATTCTTAACGAGAGGTCGTGACTCATTCGTTATCAACATGACCATTATTACGTTGGAACATAACGTAACTAGGAAGGTTCGTCCACCTCTTGTGTAAGCATTCATTGTCGGCCCCAACCGGTTTCAGGAATTTTGGGATAAATTGTATGTATACACTCTGTCTGCGCGCGAGTCATTTCCTTTGGCATACAAAGTCTAGTTTTTCTTAGAATTTTAATACATCTTATCTTTTGGAATTTTCACATTAAATATTGATACAATTTAATGAAATACAATAGCAATGCCCGTTTGAGAAAATCTACTCAACAACATATTAATTAAGAAAATATTTGCTAAACTTAATTAGCAATATATTTAGCTAAAATTAAATTAAATGACATTTTTTATTTGTCACATTCTTTCAAATAATACTAATAATGGCTGGTTTAATTTAATTTTGCAATAGAATAATTTTATCTAACAATAAAAAAAGATACCACGATAAATTTTATTACAGATGCAATGAATTAATAATCGCTGATTAGCTGCTTTCTGGCGTAAAGCAGTTGAAACGTAAGTATCCATGTATTCTCGTCTCTATCATAGCACGATGAATGATGGAGTGAACAGTTAGACATCGGGCTGGGAACGGGATGTTGCATAGCTGCACGGCGCAGCGCTAGAAATGCATTCGATGCATGCACTCTAACCACAAGCGACCGCTCGTTTTCTCACGTGGAAAAGTCAAACGCTATCTGATCCTTTCATCTTATCGAAATGGATGCATAATACAGCGGCTGTAACATGCTCATGTGCCATTTTCCCAACACTGATATTATGCCCAAATTCGCGACTAATCCTTTAACTATTAAGTGTTGAAAAAATTCTATAGATAAAAAATACTTTTTTTTAAAACAACATATATATGCGTCTTTAACATTGATAATCAATTTCCGAATAGCGTATGTATCAGTTGTTGACACCTAAAAGATTAAAAAGTTCGAAGCAAAGCAAATCTATATACTTCCGTTACCTTTCCTTACGCCGATTTCTCAAGAAAAATATACACGCGAGAAAGCTTATCGCGCGGATAAAAAAGAGGCGATCGCTGTAAAACAAGGAAATAATAATCAAACAAAATGCGCATTGAGACTGAGATTTTTTCTAGTAAGACTGTACGTAACTTTCCACGAGTGGGCGACGATAACGCTATCGAAATAAACTTTGCACATCTTGTGTCGAGTAAATGCTCGAACGCGATCGCGGCAAAGCGCGGCGATCCGCTTGCGAGTTAGCGTGAGAGTTAATGAACGAAGCGAGAAGAGTCGGAATAACCGGAGAAAATTTCTTTGATATATTATCTCGATGTTTTATCACATTTGCGCATTCGCACTACACAGACACAGCATCATAAATATTTAAAATTTCTGGTTTAAAAAACTTGTTTAGACTTAGCTTAAGATTTCTAACCCGCAAATATTTAAGCGAAAGTATAAAGCATTCATCATGTTGTGTGTCCATACAATATGTTACGACAACGCTCAACTTTCATGATAGACTGGCACACATGTTGTGATTGATTTGTACATGCAACTTCGTTTTCTATGTCATAAAAAAACCACAATAAATAGATTTGCATTTTCATGATTATTATTATTATAATTAAAACGTTATATCATATTAAAAAATGGTAAAATTTGAAATCAAAACTAGAAAATTTAAAATCATATTAATAGGATTTAAGTTACTATTCTATAAATTTCTACCGATATAATTGAAATTATGCCCTTATAATCATATTATTCATAGACGAATACTTGTAATGAGACTTGCAGATATAATTCGCGATCGCGAATATGTTAATTATGTAACAATTGCCACGTCTTGAGTTTCGCGTCGGTAATCTTGATAAAATCACAAATATTGATCAAAATACAAGAAATAGCGAGAAACAACAGCTAAAAGCACGAATCATCTGATCGGCACACTCTAAATCAACCGACCGATCGATTTAATCCTAATAATTATAGAGCCGGTTTTTGTTGGAATAGCGCCAGGATGCGCTTGTGTGCGTGTAAATGCACCTGATTTCCGCCACACCTTGAATCGTCAGAAAAAGTACATTCAATGATAAATATTATATGCGCGTAGAAAATTGCGTTTGCCTATTACTTTAACTTAGATTTTGATTCAAATCAAATCGTGAAAAATTGATTTAATTGAATTCAATTAATTTAATTAAATTTGACAAGTTTGGTGATTCATTAGCGAATGTGATATTCGATTATTGCCACTAATACAGTGGAACTACATACAGTGGAATATTTCTCATAAGTTTCGAATGCCTTATCAATTTTTATTTGCATGTTGTTTAAATTATATTAATACTAGATTAATTTTAGATTAAATTAGTTAAATAGCATTAATGCCATTAAATGTCCAGAATGAGAAAAAAAGTGTAGGTATCAATATGTCCTTTTAAATTGAAGCGCCTCATAACTTTTACAAGAGCGGGTCGTCTCAGGCCGCTGAAACGCAATTTGTCTTGCACGAGTGCGGAGGCACGCATCATTATACAACATCATGGCGAAGCCACCTGTTGCAGCAGTCGCCTGCCTGTTGCCGTTCCGTGAGTAACGGACAAGAATAAACCGACGCGCGTCTTACATAAAAATAATCGGCCGGTCTAGCATCTTTCCAGAGACCTTCCAACGATAGCTATGATGCATAAGCAAGAGTCAGAATGGCGAAGCCTTTCGGGCTAAAGGGATAATCTTTACGCTCGACACAAATGTTTAACACCTTCCAAAATTCTTTCTTACGGAAATCGTAGTAAAGGCTAGAAGTTATTTAATTTTACCTAACAATTCTAAAATAATAAGAAAAAAAGCAATAATTGCGTTGAGATTGAAAGCGCGATATGTTCTACGTAGTGGAGTATACGATTTTCATTTGATAACATTTTATAATATACACTCTAATTTCAACAATGCTGTATATCTTAACTTCTATCTGAGATGTAAGACTTTCTTCATTCTAACGTAGTCTTTCGAAGCACGAATGATAGACTAAACAGAGCGCGGATAACTTTTCTCACGCAGTTATACTCGAACGATCCCCGTTACTCACTCTCCACTTCTTACTTCGCGCAGCTTTCGTTAGTTGCTCGCTTTTGCTAATTAACTTACGTTAATCCACGTAACCCAGAAAATTAAGAATGTGACTGGAAAAAAATGTAGCAAGTTGAGGAATATATAAACATTTCCAGAGACTCCAGAGACTCCAGGAAGAATCCAGAGACTCATTTTCGAACATCGTTGTCGATTGATAGGCGCGTTTTCGAGCGACTTGTCGCGATCACGATTTTAAAGATCGAGTCTTGATCGAGGATAATCAGTTGACATCGTAATCGCGTATTATATCAGACTGGGAAATTGCTTCACTTCTCCCAACGACTTTGCAAAGTCCCTCCCCCCTTTTCTGGAACCACCGCCTCCATCTATTACGCTCTAGATATCGGCGGCGAGGCTGATATTATTACCGCGATTTCCAGCGGTTAGAAAACAACGTATGTAGCTTTGCATACAGATCGCTCTTTAATGGTCGGCCTTAATGCCGCTCGCTGCTTTCTACCTGAAACATGGGCGAGAGATGCTGATTGAAAAAAAGATGCAAGCTAGTAAAATGTGCGTCTTCGAACTTCCGTAAATGCGCCGCTGACTTAATCGTAATTTATCGTTAATTAAAAGACATTCGCGATATGTCGTCCGCCAGAAGATGCACTCCATTAAATTCAAACATGACAGAAATTATTTATAATTTTAAACAAAACCAAGAGTTAATGTAAATTTACATAACAAGAAATTTTAACATTGATAAAATTTTCGCTTTTCTTTTTGGAAGAGAAAAATGAGAATGTATTTTACAATCCAACTGGAGACTATGTATTTTTGAATCGTCGTGAATTTGTTATTGTTGATAACAATTTCAACTAAAATCAAATCAATTGAATAATGTAATAAATTAAAATTAAATAATAATCTGAATGACAATCACGATATAATAAATTTCTAAAAATATCTATGTGATAAATATTATAAAAAATTTTAGATATGCAATTTTAATACGTCAATAATTAGAAACTCATATTGATCAATATATATATAATAAATAATTAATTATATGCAACAAGCATAGAATTCTCAATATTAATATAAATCTTTTTGGCGCCTGTTAAATATCATAAAACATTTCCTTTCCCAAGCTACAAGAACGCAATTTCGGATCGAAAGGGTCAATCGTTTAGCGTGACACGCTGTGAACGACGACCCAGATCACCATAATCGCGCTTAGATTTGCGTTGAGGAGCAATTTAATAGTATCCCGGGCTCTTATTTTCCCCCGCTCTCAGACCGGAAATTCTCACACGATTCGGAGAAAAAGAAACACAAATTATTTTCAAGATTTTCGAAGAGATTATCTCTGTGCTTATCAAATTAAATAATTAGTACAATTTATTACAAGCTACGAATATAATTTAAAAAATAATGCTCCGAATTTTAGAATTCCAAATTGTGTAAATCAATGTCAATCAAATAACAATTAGAATATATATTGTTAATATGTTGCTTCTTAATAGCTGAATGATTAAAACAAATAATTCTAGTATGCTAGAATGTTGGACGCGATTAAAAGAGCGTGAAGAGACAACGTGTAAGTATAAAGAAAAAAAACAAAGAGAAAGGTGAGGGCAGAGGAGAGAAAGAGAGAGAACGAGAGAGAACGAAAGAGAAAGTGAGAGCAATAACGTACGAACCATTAGCCCGTAAATCCTCCAAATGCGTTGGCTGGAAATGCGAATGGTGTTGTAGCTGGAAGCCGTAGGCCGGAAGCCAGGGATTCGGTCCGTTCACCAGATCCATGTCGGTGGAGTCCAGGGTTAAGGCCGCCGGATCTTCCTCCTCTTCGTCGGCGACGGGGGACGCCGCGGTAACGACGGCGACCCTCGCCGTCGCTGTCAGCGTCGCCGTCGCACTCGAATCGCTCCCGCTCATCGTTGTCATGTGACGATGACGATTCCTCGCCGATGTTTGTTAGCTGCGCCGGCAAACTGTGAACCCCCTTTCCGTCTCCTCTCCCTCATATCCCTCCACCCTGAATTCACCGGAAGCCGCACCGTGTCTTTCCGGCCGAGGAGAGGACGGTCCGACCGCGTCCGATTCGATGTGATTTCGGCCAGATCCAAATCTAAACGGTGAACCCTCTCCCCGTCGCACGCGAACTCGGGCGTACTGAGAGCAACTGAGAGCAACTGAAATGCAAATGTGACTCGATTAGTGTTATGAAGGGTTTTACAGAATTAATTATTCTTAATTATCGCGTAAAAGAAAGAATTAAAAGAGTCACTCGAGTTTCGAATATTCAATTTAGAAAAAAGTGCTGAAAAAAATTAAAAGGCAAATTGATACACAAAATCGAATCATAAAATAAAATCCTCGCGCGTAAAGATATTTTCAACAAAAATTTTCTGAGAATTCACATTTCAGAGAATGTGCATTTCTCTTGGATCTCACATCTTTCTTCTCATACTTCTGGACTTTTAAATCTTCAAGATTTGAGATCTCAAGATCTGTAAGATCTAAAACGTATAAGATTTAAGATCCTCTTGAACGTCAAGACCTCCGCGCATTCTAAATCCTCGACTTCCTTGAACTTTCGGAGACCCTCAAACTTTCCCCGGCTGGAATTCTCGGGGATACAGGCGGGAAGAGAAGGAATCCGCGATGGAACCCGTCCGCGAGTCATCGGCCGGGTGGGATCGCGAATACCCCGAGCGAGTACTCGCGCGCTCGCGAGAGATGGAAAAGAGATATCTGCCTGCATTCCCCGCCATAGGTATACCGCTTTAACGAGCGTGTGTAGCTACGGCGGGCGTTAAATATTACCGTGAGTCGCGGATTTACATGACACACAACGGCAAGGGAGAATCCTTATGCAGGAGGGAGTTACATTCTTGTAATTGGATAAAGATTGGCTCGGGTCGTCGCCCTTCTCTTCCCTTTCCTCCTTCACTCCGTTATTCCCCCGTTCTCCTCGCGGGATTTCGCGAGCAGCAGAAATTTTATTACCGTCGTATTTTCTTCGGCAGACAGACCGCATCGTTTAAGGCCAACGCATACGATCCGCTCCTGATGTTCTTTCCGAATAAATCATCGCGGAATGCAATAGATGGAAGAATTCAAAAGTGCAAAAAGAATGATCAAAGAAAAATTTTGCTAGAAAAGACTATTAATTAAATATCAAACTTCAATTTGTAAAAATATGTAAAATTAAAAATTAGTGCGTTTAATATTAAATTCCGGCTCGCATTTTTTTCAATGGTAATAACAATTGCTTCCATTATTTCTTACGTTTTCATATGCAAGTGAAAAGTGCAACGAAGAAAAAATCCATTTGTGTAATCGTTGAATGCACTCCTCGTCGAGATAATCGTTATCATCTCATTCACAAAATGCTCCTTGGGGAATTATTTCAAAAGCGTAGAAAGTTATATAGTTGCGATCGCAAAAGAGGATCGGAAAATTGTTCGCTGACAGAAATCGGAATAAAGATCGCGTGACTGATTAATGTGCAAACGTATGTCGCAAACTACGTCATTATATTTTTATCGCAAAAATAGATGGATAATGCGTCATATCGTGTCGCAGAATTTATTTTAAGCCGTCGATTCCTCAATTAATGGATTTTGCCTTTAATCCTTTGAAGCACTAGCCAACTAATTAATACTTCACTAATCATGCGCGACATTGCAAGCTGGAAGATGCAATAGAGCGTGGTATATCGATCGGACATTCGATCTCTTGTGCACCACTCCCGGCGATAAACCGCGTCGCTGCAAAAAATGTAATCGCGGACAAGTTGTCGCGACTAGTTCGAATTGCATGCGCACTCTCGTACTCTCCTTTTCTACTCACACGGATGGGATTGTACGTTATACATCACCGTGTGTTTTACAATGCACGTCTGACTACACGCGGACACTTTCACTTCACGTAACACTCTTACACGGCGAATAAAGGCAAGAGATTTTAACTGCTTAATGCCAAAAAGTTTTTTTTAGAATATCTACAGAATTGTTCGCTAAGAATTCTGTTATTTTCGCCGTTTTCAAATTTCCCTAAAATAAAGTTCAGCGTCTTTGATTAGAAAAGATTTTAAGTATTTGCTAATTATCTGTGTAAACTTTTTAATGTTTTCTGCTCATAAAATCAGAAAGAAAAATAAAGAGCCTTTCAAATTACAGATATTAGATTTGGAAAAATACTGAAAAAAAACGCAGAGACGGCTATTTGATTCATCGCAAAATAAACGCAAGATATTATCGAAAAGACATTTTAACAATTCCTTGAGAATTTCTTAATTTCTTAGATGCCTGGAATTTTGTGAGAACTTAAGAAAGTATTTCAATTACTAAAAGTATAAAAGTATGACAAGTAAAACTTGAGAATTTATGACTCCATTTTTTTACATCTAAGACGCTCTAATACTCTAAAAATTTAAAAACTAGAAAGAGTTTCTCATCCACTATATCGTGGTTCTCATGGCGATCTCACAACATGAAGGGACAGCAAAGCAAAACGACCGTGAAGAGAAATAAAACGGCAAAGAAGTACAGAGAGAGAAGAAGAGAGAGGAACTGTTATCTGGAGATACCGTAACAGAGAGAAGGAAGAGAGATAGGCAGAACGTTCGCGTAAACAGACACAATCCTACACTGCATGGTGTGTGTGAGTGTTCAAGGAAAGAGCGAGAAAGAACGCAAATGTGTGTACAATCAGGTGTATTAATGGTATCCGGTGTACTTGGTATATTCAATAGTTGAACTTCTGTAATATTTAATCCTTTAACTGTTAAGAAATAAAAATGCTTTATTATAAAAAATGATTTATATTTAAAAACAATTAAATTTATGTAACGATTCCAAGTTTTTTAAAGTGTTGAATTAAAATCTGCAGTCAAAATATTCGAATTCCGAATCGTGAATATTTTCAAAAAGTTCTAAGGAATTTTAGTTTGACAATTAAAATGTAAACATTGCCATTCAAGAATAGAAAATAAAAATATAATTAAATACAAAAGTGGTTGTTGAAATTTAACAACTAATTGAAATGTAACTTAAATTAAAAATTTTTAGAATACAATAAATTGTATTTTGTTATTTATAAAAATAGTATTCTCTTAAATTTCAAAATTTTGATGTCAAATTGAAATTTAGGGACCATAAAAATCCACAAAAATTGAGTCTAATAAGAATCGAATAATTATTTAAATTTGCATCTACTATAATATATTGGTGCTTTGTACGAAGTTTGACCAGGTTAGATTATATTCAAAAATTTGAATCAAGCACTTAAAGTTAGCCATTAAACGCCAATTAATCGATTCAATATTGTTTCATGCTCGCAGAGAATAAAAAGAATCGGTGATCGTGTATCGCAAACGCTTGTGAATGCGGACGCGTCAGACCATTAATGCACGCAATTGTACGCGTGAGAGGAAGGGAAACGAATAGTAGTAGCGCATGACAGAAGAGGATCAAGAAAAGGCTACATCGCGTACTCAAAGAAAGTTTCGAGTGCGGCGGCGCGGCAACGAGTTTATCTACCTGTTAGCGTATATTCCACGATGCCATAACCGCGTGCTGATGAATCCGCATGTGTTTTCCGTATTGCAAACGTTACAGCTTCATCCGTGTTGTGTCGAACCGCACTCACATGTCATACCACACGTCGGCATCACCACAAAGCGACATACGTACACAACACACACATACACAATCGACCGCACTTCTTCTCGCCGCACCAACTGAGCGACGTCGTCAAACCGGTGACGTGCCGCGACGCGCGAACATGGCGCACTCACTGTCGATCCACAGGTTCGATCGTGCACGCGAAACGGCGCGAAGAGCTGGACTGTCGATCGAGCTTTCTTCTCACGCACATTCGTGTTTACTTTGTGTGCTCCATGTTGTTTCACAGTAAAACGACGTGACGCCACACGAGCTCTCAAGACCGCACCCGACACGCTACAACAAGTTAACGGCTTTAAGCACCGAGGGGTAAATACTGCAATGAAATGCGCTGCTTTCGCCCGCAGACCGCGGTACACGGCAGCCACGCCGGCCTATCCCCACCCCACCTATGTAGCGCCACACGTGGTAAGAGATGCCATCTGGTATCATCGATCGTACTATCGAATGCGGAGCATCGATTGATCCTGTTCGATCACGTCTCGAAGATAAATCTTTCGACTTTGTCGCAATATAAGCGTAATATAAACAAATATAAGATAAATGCCTCAGTGGACGGATATTTAAGAGATAAGCATTGTAAAAGATATCATTTTTTCTATTAAAATAATTTTTTTTTATTTTTCGTATGCACAGATATTAAATTTATTGAACAAAAAGAAAAAAATTTCTAAAATATTTCTAATAAAATTTAATAGCGCTTTGTTAACTGATTAATAATCGATCTTATCTAATTTCTTTTGATATTATTCGCGAGCGTTTTGGAGAGAAAGATGTACTTGGTCAATCGATCATTCGCCACCTGATACCCTGCGGCGATAGCTAAAAATGCTCGTACAGAGAATTTGACCTCGCGGCCATGAATGTGATCTGACGTTCGCATTCGGTGTCGGTGACCTGGCTGGAAAAAAGAAATTGATTTCAGGTCCGTTATATACTCATGTCATTCATCTGGATTCTCGCAATTGCCCAAGCCGAATTTCAAGATTATCGAAGCCATCGATCATCGAGCATGTGTAGTATTTTTATTTCCTATTTTTTTACCTTAGATAAGTATCTAAAAATACGTAATACATACGCAATACACAGCACTGTACGAATAATTTAAACGACAGATTCATAGACAAAATTTATTATTATAGTGTTACATTGCACAATTAATCGCTTAATTTTTTTATTTATAAAATATACTGGATATTCTTGATTACTCTTCATATTTTGAAACTTTTAGAGAAACAAAATTAAAAAACTCACACCAAATATCTTTGCAAAAAACGCTACTCGACATTTGTTGCCATCTTGAGAAGCAATATTTTTCACTTCGGTTTCTGAAAACATTTTTAATAGTAATGTAAGATTAGAAAAATCAGTGAAGCTTGGTAAAAATTGAAATGATTGCTAAAACTGAACACATAATATATTTATCGCTGTATCGCTGAGCAATCTTTTTTGATCGTTATATAATATCAGGATATCAGGTGTTCTTCTTCTTCTCTCGACGTATTCTCACCGTATTCATAATATTGCGACGGTTCCGTCGATTCATCCTCGCACTCCTCAGTAGCCGATCTAATCCTTACTACTTTCTGTCTGTCGCATTCACTAACTTTACTGCCACGTAGCACATAGCCAGATCTCAATTCACGATTCCTGGAGCCACTCCTAGCGGGTGCTGCGACCTGAAAAATGCGGCGAGAGTTTCGTCCTTCAAAACTAACCGTAATCGTAGATCTCGCTGGGTTCCTCGTTCACCGTTTCTTCCTCATTTTCCTCTTGCTCGTCAGTTTCGTCGTCGACGGTCTCATCATTGATCTTGTTCTCCTCATCACCCTCGTCCTCCTCTTCCTCTTCTTCCTCATCTTCATTCTCGTCCTCCTCGTTCCTTATTGATGAGTGATAGGATCTATTATCGTCGAGCTTATTTTGAGATCGATAGCGTCTTGGAACAACATCATTGTAATCATTGCTGCGATACGCTTGCTTTATCCAGTGCGAATGTTCGAGAAGACGACGTCGTGGTTGTGCACAATCCTCATAAAAAAATTCTATATTATGTAAAACATGTCCGTGAACATTTTTGGCAGTTATAATCGTTACAGGTAGTTTTAGAGAGTCCCAATCTCCGTCGCCAACGGTACAAATATGCGACAGAATTAAAAACGACGATAACAGTGTAAACATAAACATAGCCTATGCTTTGTCATCATTTATGGTGATGCAATTGAATCAGATTGAATACAAGCACAATGAAATCAATCATATACAATCAAATTCAGTCAATTGAAGTCGGATTTACATTTTTTAAAGTGCATGTACGCATTAACTTCATTATAAACCTTATATCTTGTTTTAATTTGCATTCTTATAAAATCATCAATTAATGGTATATGTTTATTATTGGCATTTAATTTAGTATGGCATAATAATATTAATTAAATATAATTATATATATATTACATATTATATATTATTATATATATCTTAAATGTGTATATATATCATGTATATCTATCATATATCATTGATCATATTATATGATCATTTGATCTTATAGCCACTGTTTTTGAAATTAAGCAGGGTTTTTCTCAAGATACATTTTCGTCATCACATCAATGCGACATTGGCTCAAATCTATGTAGGCTGTGCTAGTGCATCCCATTACAGGACATCTATGAACATAATATGAATATGAATACTGTAGTACTCAGTACATTTTAATATACAGTACTATATTAAAGAAACGCACCTAGTATTTTTGTTCTTCTTTAACATTGCAGTAAGACTTTCTTTGTCATAGATGTGACCACAAACTGCATTTTTCACTGGATTGGTCATCCGCATCTTTGAAATCGGGTCGATTACATTTATATAATGGCTTGTCAAATGTAGATCTGCATCTGAGTCATCAACCACTGTGCTATTTGCTATGATTCCATTACCTGGAACATTTATACAATATTAATCTTAGAAAAAGAGTCACAAAAGAATTTTAGGTGAACTGAAATCTTGATTTTAGCAATTACTTTGACTTATTCCTTCAATCTGGCGATCAAACTCCAACAATCTGTTGTCTTTTGATGGATCAATTTTTATCTCAGATATAGCTTTATTATATTCCTGTTGCAAATAATAACAAAGATTACAAATCTTAACAGTATTATGCTGTTAAGCTTAAGCTTATTATTCTTAAAGATAAGGCTATAGCCTGTATATTGTCCTGTGTACTTTTGTAATGTCCTCCACTTTTCTATCTGGCTCAAGCTCTGACACATGTTCTAATCGCTCTTTGATCTCTTCTGCCATTCTCATCTTTTCAATTTCTATACAATTCTCTTTCAAAGTATTCCTTAACTGCGTCAGCGTCTTTTCTTTCTCTTCTTTGTCAACTGAAATACATTAATTCTTTATTTCTTGCTGACATAGTTTTTACTGTTGCACTTTTAAAAAATAAACAAAATGCGAGAAAAATAACAAATTTCTGCTTGCAAGATTTTAAACGTATTTCTAACCTCAATAAAATCTTACCATAGTATTTCGCAATATTTACCGCTGTTCTTACGAAACAGTCGTCGAGTTCCTGCATCATTTGCGTAGAATCTAACATTTGGTATTATTTCCTATATTGATTGCTGGAAAAATATCGGTAAAACTTATCGTATCTGTTCAGTCGACTGCAAAAACTAGCATTTAATAAACAGTTCTAAGAGAAATAATGGCGCGAAAAATATTAACTTGTTATATTTACTAGTATATATAATTTTTCTTTGAAATTGAATTAACTATATTTATTTTATTAATATCTATTATATTAAATTTTATTAATGTTTAGTTATTGGGCATATAAAATCATAAATTAAATTCTATCTTGTATTAAATTTTAAATTAAGTATGCTTAACATAATACCACTTCTTTTTATGGTGTATTTAACATGCCGTCAACCATGTGACAACAATAATATCACAATAATATCACCAATAATATTTTTAAAGGTTATGTTTCAATATAGGCTGCGTTCCGTCAAGCGCATATGCGCGCATGTATCTATAGTATACGTTACGTATACATTGGCCGCGTTCAGCAGACTCAACAGTTGTAGATTTTCCGCTGAATCTCGACTGTTAATTAGTTGGTTCTGAAAGTAAGAACCAATCACGTTCGATTGCTACTAAGCGGTTTGTTCTGCTGAACGCGCCCATTGGTTGCGTTCCGAATTCACTGCCAGTACTGAAAATCTACAATATACGTAACGTAAACTATAGATTTTCAGTGAAGGCAGTGAATTTCAAAACACAGCCATTGGCTGCGTTCAGCAGAACAACTGCTGAATTGTCGTCTAGTCAACACTTAACGTTGATTTGTTGGTTCTAAAAGTAAGAGCCAATCATGTTCGATTGCTACCAAGCGATTTGTTCTGCTGAACGCGTCCATTGCCAGTACTGAAATACAGTGTACGTAACGTGAACTATAAATTGCAGTACTGGCGATGAACATGGTTAAAATAGAGAAATACATCTATAGTGTAACAATATATATATATTTTTAAATTACTTGAGGTATATCCAGCAAACTTACATAGTGCATACGTATGAGGATGTGGATTAGTCCATTTCCTTATGCATGTGCTTATGCATTATTTAAGTAGTCTGTATATACCCTTAAGGGGCTATCACACACAAAATGACATAACTGCATATGCATAGCATAAGACCGTCTCGACCAATGAACATCTAGCATAAAGACGCCATATTGATTTACATAGCATGCTCATTGATCGAAACGGTCTTATACTATGCATATGCAGTTATGTCATTTTGTGTGTGATGGCCTTTATAGTTACATATCTTCAATAACATTTTATCGATGGTACAACTGAAACTGCGCGCGAACTAAAGGAACAGAACATTGGCAATAGAATCTGTCGTGTGGGTCGTGTGTCAAATTGAAGGTAGACTACTGAAAAGTGAAAGTAGTTAACCTTTGCCTTTCATTTTTTGTTCTACTTTATTTGCTCCAAGCTAATTGTATTAAAGCGAGCATATCCACCATGCAGAACGTCACGGTTCTCTTCGCGCTCTTCGTAAGTCTGTTTAACCATTTATTTTGAAAAATCTATATAAAATAATTGACAGAAAATAACAGTTATAAATAAACGTATAAGTAAAACATTTGCTGTTAATAAGAAAGAGGTCACATAATTTTATACGAGAAAAATTAATCTGTAATTTTTCTATTTATTCATAATAATATATATTTGTACGAGATTTGCCATACATTACTTTATATATAGATTTGATATTGAATACCAAAATAGTTGGAAACTTTTTAATCCATCGACCAATGGCATGGCACTATTTTACATCACGCGCATCTAGGAATTTTCCTACTTTTTCTTCATTTTTATCAGCAACTTGTTGCATAAGTAACTAACATGTTCTCTTTTACATTCGCGCCACGTTATTCGTTTGACGTGGTTGATTTCAATTTTCGTTCTTCCTCAAAGGTGTATTGCTTTCTTTTATTTCGACACGGAGATACAGAGAAATTGGGTACGTATTTTTCATAACTCTTCGAACGATTCTACTTTATTTGCGCCAACATATGTTATATTATTAGTGTTTAACACTCTATGAGGGTGTAATTATTACAGTTATTACCTACGAAGCAGAGTTGAAGTGGCTAACTTCGCGAAAATTAATTTTGCCGCCATAACGATATGTTGTAGATTACATAAGTTTTTTATCATTATCACATACAGTTGGTTTATATTTTGGTATTTATATGTATATTATATATAAACTTATTAATTGTGACAATAATGCGACGAAGATTGACGCTCTAGTGACTAACCTATTCGTGTAAATAAAGGGTAATAGTTTCCTATTCTATTTGACTGTTTTGTTATCTCGAATACGCTATCGTACATTCGAACTTTGAACTATTCTACGCCATTAAGATGTATCCGATTGAATTGTAATTCTATCGTTAATTAACTTTGTTTATATATTTGTTTAGATGCTCGCGAGAATCTGTTTCCCTGCGACAGCAAATAAGATCGCTTTTTTTAATACAGTAAGAAATATCAGAAGTATTAGTGGAATGTCAAAGTTTGATCTCCCCGATCGCCTGAAGGGCAGTGAAAAATCTGTCTGGTGAGTAGATACGTTACTTTAACATATAAGTAGAAATATGTGGAAACTTATTATTATTGGTTATGTTTACTTGATTAGGGTGGAGTATATTCAGCTTGCTTTGCAGTACAAACCGCTGAACTTGGGTCAGGGATTTCCAGACTATTATGCACCAGAGAATGTAACTAACGCTTTGGCTGCTATTGCCAAGAGTGACAATCCACTTTTGCAACAGTATACCAGAGGATTTGTAAGTATCTATTTGTTAATTTCACTTTCACTTATGCAGTCTGTTATGAAATATGAGCATGATATTGCAATAATTCTTATCTACAGTCAGCAATAAAACTATCTTATCTATAAGTCACATGAGGATTTATACTTTATTTATATAAGTATTAAAATGTTGCAGGGTCATCCAAGATTAGTTAATGCAATTGCAAAATTGTACTCCAAGCTGATTAATCGTGACTTGAATCCAAACAAGGAAGTGTTGGTCACTGCTGGTGCTTACGAAGCATTATATGCCACGCTACAAGGTCATACAAATCCTGGAGATGAGTGGATCATCATCGAACCTTTCTTTGACTGTTACGTACCCATGGTACAGAGCGCCAGAGGAATTCCTAGATACATAGCATTAAAACCAGTAAGGATGTATTTCAATATGATAAATAATGAATGCAAGGGAAATCTTTGCACGAAATGTATAATTTAATAGTACTTTTATTTCTTTTGCAGAAGTCTACATCGGGTACAGTCACTTCTGGTGATTGGGTATTTGATAGGAAAGAACTAGAAAACCTTTTCAATGAGAAAACTAAAGGTATCATTATCAACACACCACACAATCCGACAGGGAAAGTGTTAACACTAGATGAACTGCAGTTTATTGCTAATCTCGCGAAAAAATGGAACACTTTAGTGATATCCGACGAGGTTTACGAACATATAGTTTATGAGCCGTATAAGCACATAAGAATTGGTAAGAGAATTGGCGATGCATAACAAAATTAGCTTCGCTATATATAAATTTTCGAAAGCACAACAAAATTAATTTTTTCCATTATTAGCAACATTACCTGATATGTATGAACGCACGATTACAATTGGATCTGCGGGCAAAACGTTCAGCGTTACAGGCTGGAAAATAGGATGGGCTTATGGGCCGGAGAATTTGCTATTTAATCTGCAAGTGGTGCATCAAAACAGTGTATATACCTGCAGTACACCGATTCAGGTAATTTAGTTCAAAAGTTTTATATCATGTAAATTACAAAATATTTTTTAAATCTCTGTTTTATTTAAAAAATAAATTAAATAATTTATTGTATTTTAATTGCAGGAAGCAGTGGCTATTGGATTCGAATTGGAAATGGAACGTTTTGACCAACCAGAGTGCTATTTCCGCAGTCTGGCACAGGAGCTATTACCGAAACGAGATTTCATGGCAAAATTCCTCCGAGAAGTTGGTATGGTGCCGACGATACCCGAAGGTGGATATTTTATGCTCGCCAACTGGTCTGCGTTGGAGAACAAAGTGAGACTGCAAGAAGAGATAGACGAGAACAAAGACTACCGATTTACCAAGTGGATGACGAAGAACGTCGGTCTTCAAGGTATTCCCCCCTCAGCATTTTACGGTCCTGAACACAAACATCTGGTAGAGGATTACGTGCGGTACTGCTTCATAAAGGTAAGTGCTCTCATACAGGTTAGTAAGTCGTAATTTTAATTAAGATGACAAACGACTTTAGCGTTTGTTAAACATCGATTGCGTTTCAACAGAAAGACGAAAATTTGAAGGCTGCTGCCGATATCTTGAAGAAATGGGCGGTCCAATAATTGAAATTATGTATATATATAAATTTTCTGATGATATGTGCTTTATGTTCCGCATTGATTTGACAAATGGCTTTTTATATATCATACTTTTACGAGAATTTTATTTGACGTAATTAGGAAAGTGTCGTGGCAATTTTTACGTGTCATTTTTCTGTAAATACTTTTACAAGTGCTTTTTTTATTATGCATTTTCGTGATTTCCGATTCGTGGTGATACTCTCGATTTGTGATACTCTCGATTAGTGATACTCTCGATTATTATTCGATCGATATTGGACAACATTGTTAGAATTATAGCGGAATTTTATTGAAGTTGTTTTTTGTGTCAGCTCCAGATGTTTTATCGTATCCACGAAGTAAAGATGTTGCTAAAAAAAGTATGGCGTCTTTGATTTAGTTCCTCGGATCCTCGATCTGAATCCAACTTTGTCTCCTCGACGACTTTGTCTTCAAATCAATCAATGGCATCCTTAAATCCTAGTTTCTCAAATCCTTAGATCTCCGGTTGAATGTATCCTCGAATTCTGCGATTATATTAATATCGCTGTCCAACAATTCCATTTTATTTAATTATTTATAATTGTGCACAATGATCGTATTTTTAGAATTATTAGAATTTATAGTACATGTGTTACCAATACTCGATTTGTTCAATGACAGATAGCAAATTCGTAATTGATTAACAGAGATAATTGAAATATGTACATATTTATGCTTGAGTATTAAATTTGTGCATATTTCATATAAAATGTTCCTGACCAATCGTATTACTGTTAATAGCAGATTCCTGAAGTTTCTCATATATGGTAAGGATATAAAAATCAATATGCAACGTGCAATATGAAAGCGTGAATTTTTGACAATTTTTGATCTGTCAACTTTAAACACTATTGTAAATGGTATAAATTTAGATATTTGGGTATAAAGATTTTTGTCTGTAAATGACTTCAAGAATCTACTATTAACTGGTTTGGGACATCTTGTATAAAACCAAAATGCACAGCTTTTTAATATCTTATGTTTTTCGTTTGATAGTAAATTTTTTCATCATTGCTACACATTCGGGTCGTATGGTGTGCAAGGGCAAATTAACTTGGCTTTTCATCAGCTATAATGAAAGAAAAATTATTGAAAATTAATGAAATCTTGTCTTATTTTAACTTAAGAACAACGATATTTATTAGCGAGAGCTTTGATAGCTGCTTTTCTCTCTTACTAAACGTTCTTCTAAATTCCGAGGCTCGGCCTGTCCGCTTTGCACGTCTATCATTTTTCTCAGTCGATTCAATGCCGCATTATGTCGTAATTGCCGTTCGAATTCAATCGCAAGTCCTTCGGTTGCGAGTACTGTGTATCTTTGTCCGATTCCAGCATTTAATCTCGGTATAAAACCTAAGCAAAGAAAATTCGTTCTACATGCGATTTATAATAATACTATTTTTCAAGGAAAATTTATTCTGTGTAAGACTTATGATAATTTTATATTTATTAAAATAGTTTATGTTAATATACAAAACCGTTAAATATACCTTCGTATCCCGGCAACATAGGGTGAGCGAAAATTGAGCCGGTTCTCTTGAAACGTGCGTTGACTATATCTATGTCTTTCTTTTTCGGTCTCCATAACTGCATATTTGTTCAACAAATAAACAATAAAAAATTTAGTTAAAATATCTTATTAATAATTGAAATAATTTATTGAAAAATAATTTATTGAATATTTTTTAAAACTTTGTAAAATTATTGAAGTTTCTTATCTTTTTATCTCAAAAGATTTCTGAAGACTTTGTACACTTAATAGATTTACAATCTTACTATCTTAGAAAATATTTGAAAATTTTTTAAATTAATTAATTTTATTATGTTATCTTATTTATCTCGCTTATCACACAGTGTAGCGTTAAAAATCGTTACCTTGCAATCATCGCTCGAACGATTTGAGAGGATAAGCGTATCCGTGTGGTTCACCGTAGGATCGAGCAGTAATTTATGCGTGGCTTTTCCGTATGTTTCACCGCATCTAAATCGATACTGCGGGCAATAACCAGTGTATCTAAAGAAATAGCCAGGTGATAAAAAGTTTTCAAAAATTTTCTATGATAATAAGAAAATAAAAACCAATAATTGTTAAGCTATCAAAAATTAAAAAAAAAATTTACGAAGCAGTACTTATTCGGTATTTTTTAAAATTCTTAATGCAATAAATGATCAGAAAGGTTATTTATTATTTTTAAACATCAGGCCTATATAAATGACAGGAGTGATTATATTATTTCGTAAGGAGTTTAAGTTTCTACCCTGGGATAAAATGAGGGTCTGCTGTAGTTAATAGTTCCATTCCTGTAGTCATCCTACAAAATTAGTTTTTTTTTAAACTTGTCAATTTTGGAACAACTTTTTAAGATTTTTTTGGTTTATTCATTTAATTGGCATGTTGCTAAACAGTTGAAATTCTGGTGTTCCCCGATGATTTCACTCGGTTTTACGATTTTAGCAGCGGTTTCCGATGAATAAATAAAGAATGCGGGTTGAGAGATAATCCACCAGCAATAGGTGAGCGTAGAGATAGCGAGGAGAGAGGAGAAAAAAAAGAGAAAAGAGAGAGAGGGAGAGAGAGAGAGAGAGAGAGAGAGAGAGAGAGAGAGAGAGAGAGAGAGAGAGAGAGAGAGAGAGAGAGAGAGAGAGAGAGAGAGAGAGAGAGAGAGAGAGAGAGAGAGAGAGAGAGAGAGAGAGAGAGAGAGAGAGTAAAGAGGATAGTGACTTGCGGTAGAGGAGGGAGGATACGCGTTGCGTGCTCAAACGGAAGGAGGTGCACGATTATAGCTCCGCTTTCCAGTTTTCACGGGACCACCGTGACGATAGTACGTTGCGATAGGATTTTCCGGAAAAGTGCTTCTTTTAATGAAAAGGCTTAGAATCGTGACTTATATAATTAAAAATAAAAATATAATAAAATCAAAGTAAAAATATGAATATAGAAAATTGAAATTGAAAGAAAATGTGAAAAGTTTGTCTATGATTGCATAGAAATCTAAAAGTTGAAATAAAAAAAAAATGTATTCTTAAATAATAAATCTTGGAAGCAATAGTGGAAGTGATTTACAATGTAAAGATAACAGAATGTTTTAATTATCGAAAAAAGATTGAAATTGATGACACAATGGAAGATAATTTTAAAGTGAATATTTGTAGAATACAGTGACGCTAGTTTCTTTTTTTATAATATTTAAAACATTACTGCAGTAAAAGAAGTGAGAAATTTGTCGACTTTGTGATTCAACAAGTTAATAAATTATTTAAAAGCGAGAACTATGCGATTCCGTCGAGAGATGCGTTCTATCTTTTACGTCGAATCCAATTACTGCGAATCCGTAAAGTTGGCCAAAGACCAGGTAAATGACTTGTTTATGCTTTAACGACACTTATGAGATTCTCTGACTGCAACTAATTGTACTTGTTGACGTTCACATTGGTAACGGTGCTAATAACTAATTAGTTATTTCTTATTTTTAATTAATTACTTGATTAATTATTGAGAAAGCTCTTTGTGTGAAATTGTATAATTTACCGATTTATATGACGAAAATTAATAGAACAGAGAATAACAGAGGGTGGGAAGGACAAAGAACGACGTGATTAACGGAAAAATGGAAATTCCGCACACGCTGACGTGCGAAAGCGGTAATAATAACGTGTAAAAGGAAAAGTGAAACTTATGCCGGTGCAGTAACACTTAACGCCTGGTTTACGTTTATGAAGTTCTTCGGGTATTTCGATAGCGAGACGGAAGAGCGCAAAAATCATTAAAAAATTATCTGTACTGTGATTATTTAATCCTAATTTTGTATTTCACTGAATTTGCAATTTTACGCAACATGAAATACAAAATTACTTACATAATAAAAAGTGAAATAATAGCTTATGATTTCTCAATGTACAATATTATATAATATTATTTTCATACAAAGGAAATATCACGAAGGTAAATATTCTCTTTACTGACTCATTAGGGATTAATCACGTTCTCTTAAGGGTCACGATCCGACCAGGTGTACGAAATGCCAGGTGAACGAAATGCAAACAACGAAGAAATAATTTTCTCCTCTTTGCTTGACGTTTTATGTTTCGCGTCCCCACAACCGGAAACGAAGTTATCACGCGTTACTTATTACGGACTCCCGGTGTGGGTGGACGATATGTAATAATAGCAAAAATATACATGGTACATATTTCTGCATACGAATAATAATTTATTTAATTGTCCATTTAATCTTCAAAAAATCTAAAAAATTTAAATTAAAGTAAAGTGAATATTACATTTCTAAAATTGATACGCTTGCGATATTGCAATATCTTAATATCTTATTTTTATTTATTAATGTATTAATTAAAATTGAAAAAATTTTGAACTTTAATTAACAGCATGGTATTGCATAAATGTATTGCGTAAAAGCATTAGCTTTTCTTGTTTTGCGACGTAGACGTGAACATTTCGTTGCATCGCTCGCAATAAATTAGCGGTTCTTGAATATCGATGCGCAGCGATGCGCAGCGATCGTTAGTCTCGGTAGAATCAGGTGGTTAATTTATTCTTCTGTCTCTCCTAATTAATGCTCAGTCGTGAGTTAGTAAAATATCAAGATCTAGGGCTCGATTGATTTTTAAGCTCACGAGTTTCTTATCTCGTCTGTCATCTTTTTGACATTTTATTTTGCGTTGTTTGTGACGGAACTTTCATTTACTGTTAATTTAGTGGAGTTTAACAGAATCTGATGTGAAATTAAATGTTAAACTCGTTTATTTTAATATTTTTAATTTTTTATATATCTGTTCTTTATTAGTATTTTCTATTAAATGAGATTAAAATTCTATAAAATTAGCTTAAAATGTGTGTTTGAATCGTTCTTTATTATTGGCAGAAAAACGCGGAACGGAAATCGCGAACGGAAACAGTCGTATCAACACAATGCGCGCACTAAAGTTTGTCGACACGCGAACACTTCCTTGAATATCAATCGTATTCCTCGAGTCTTTATAGATAAAGCGACTTGGTTCTCAGGGCACGCGTCTCTCGAATAAGAAGAAAGACATTAAATTGATGCCTGCCATTGTCACTATTTTCTGCACACTCTTGATTCAATACTGTCATAAATTTTTCACAAAGTAAGTTTTCGTTTAAAAAATTTTGTTACTAGATTATGCCTGAAAATTAATTTGAGGAGATTAAGTATTTAAAAATGTGCTTAAAACTTTTTTATAAAAATTGAATTTATCGTCTGTTTATTTAACAAACGAAATAATTTTAAGAGATGAAAGATTAGACAGGACATTCCTGAAGGAATTCCAAGTGAGATTTGGAAAGGCTTCTATGTGACGCAGCACGTGCGTTATGAGTCAGCTTCTCGATGCACGCGTTGCGTGTTCCGCATGTTGTAAAAAAGAAAAAAAAAACCACGCAACGTCCCATCTAATTTCGTCACTGCAATTCCGTTTCTTGAATATTAATGGCGGTAATTTCGATTGCATCCGAGTATCGACATTTTGTTTTGAATATTTTAGATTTAAGTGCCATTGTCAAGCCGTAAACAATAAAAAGCCACGTGCGATGCAAATCACGCTAATCACGCGGATGCATCAAATGCGTATATGCGCATGAAGCGAACAAAAGCCGATATGTGTTGGGTGCAACGCGTTGAGGATGACGGCGAATAGCACGGGCGTGCATAATTTACGCGCGACAACGAACACCACATAGTTTACAGATCGATTAATCGATCCTCTCATCACTTATAGCATACTTTAAATTCATTCTGTATATTTTTCGGTTGAATTAAAATATTGCGTTATTATTGAGACAACTTCGATAAATTAATGATGAACTTGGTAAGAAAAGCGATAAAACGCTCAAGAATAAAAAAATAGATTGTATAAAAAAAAACAAATATGGATGTATATTTGTATTTTAATTCTATTATATTTTTATAATATGTTTGAAGATTTTTAAAAATGCCTTTTATTTACAAATTCTTTGATTGAAATCGATTTCTCCGTAGCTGAAATTAAATTTAACGAAATTTTTATTCGTGAAATTTTAATATTCAAATTAATCTTCCTGACAAATTTTAAAAGAATGAAACAGCGTGGATATCAATCTGCATCTGAGATAGAATTCCTTCTTACGACTTTCTCATATTCGGCTCTAACGTGACCGCATTCCGTAAAGAATCTCTTCACCTATCAGACGCAATCCTCGATGTACCTGAAGCGCGAAAATAAAGATTTCGCAGACATGACGTAATCTAATTTTCTCAGACTGCCAAGATTTTAATTTTTAGAAGAAGCAGATTTTTCGGTTTTTGGAATATTATATAAAAAAATAATAATTTTAAACTTTTTTTTGGGTTACTTATTTAAGAAAGATAACAAATTAAAAATATTTTATATTGAAATTTATTTCTCTAAATTTCTATTTTTTACTTTTCAATTTCAGATATTGTTTTATAATAATGTTTTGCGACAAATATCTTATTTAATATAAGTTATTGATATTTATAACAATATCAATATTACACGGAAAATTTTTATTTTTATTATCATGCATCTTAAAACTCTGAGTCAAAAACTAGAAGCCTTATAAAGTTCATCCGTCTTTTTTGAAGTTAAATTCCTGAATCGGAACAATATAATAACAGAAGATTCTAAGAATAATGATGATTAAGGGCCTTAGAGATATATCGGAGAGGAATCACGTCAGGAAATAGTTAACGGTACCAAAGGCCCTTGCACTCCTCGCCTCGACACGTCATAAGGAATAAACGATATTAACGTTTACGCCATACAGGACGCGTGCGGGATTCCTCTCGTTTGCTTCCTTTGGTATTCGTGAGTCACGCGCGCGTTTACAGATCTTTTCTGGCAGACTTTATGACGCGGGAAGCACCGTAATCCATAAACCCTTGTGATCCGTTGGAATCGGGAAACATTGTTAAAACTACGGGAAATCGCATTGTGAGAGAACAGTTTGCACCTCAGTAAATATAGGCTTGAGTTTTTGTATGATTCAGTTTCATAGGAGAAAAAGTAAATTTTTTTTAAAGATTGAAGCAATTTTTAATTTTAGTAATAAATCTTTCAAGATATATTAAACATTTTTTATTCATATTAGTTTGATGAGTGTCATCTGCACTTCAAGCCATGAATCTTTTTTTAATACTATATAATTGTAATAAAATATCGATTTCGAATTGATCAAAGAATCCGTAAATAATAAATTTTCTTCAAGAATTTCATAATTAAAATATAAATACGCATACATCCGCTCTATTCTTACTTCTTTGTTATATTATCTAT